TAGCATTTACAATTTTTTTTATAAAACCATCCTTACTGTCAAAATTAAGCCTTTTGCCATCTTATAATAATAAAAAATATAAAAAGTTCTTTTTAATAAAATATCATAACAGATTGTGCCAGGAAAGTTAAGCAACTTGTTGCTGGATTTTTGTTTTGTGTAATTGTGATGTTTTCTATAGAAAAATTCTCACAGTTTGTGTATTTGTTTGTAGTACAGGTTTAAAATATCTGTGGAGACTTTTTTATGGACAACTTAGGGCAATGTTTGTTGTGTTTTGTTAATGATGTTCATGTTTTCCTTTGGTGTTCTGTTATTTCTATTTCAGTGTGTGTGTGTGAATGCGCGCAATGTATAATTTCAATGAATATGTCAGTACTGAGTTGACATATGTGTTGATAGGTTTAAATTAGTGATGTGCCGGATATCCGTATCCGTTACTTTTTAACGGATCTTTTATCTTAATGAATTTCATTACTTATATGAAATTTTAAAGATAGGTAGCAATAAAATACTAATAACTTCAATTCAAATCACTTTTTATTTCTTAAAATCACATATTTGGCACATTCATATTGCAAAAATTTTATCATCTTTATCAATTTTATCATATTGCAAAAATTTTATCATACAAAAATCATTTACTATCGTAAAATATTTCCATATTACACTGCTAAACTTTTTTGTCAACATTGTTTTTATTTTAGTTTAACTCAACATTCTCCAAAAACACAAACATAATCTATGCTATCCCGTGTCACACTAAACTATAAACAAAAACACGCACAGTGCAAGTCAAAACACATCGCGTTACTAACACAAAGTGTCAAGTATCGGTCCAAGGTCACACTCACTAGCGCCGACTGAGTATGAAAGTTGAGATCTTATCCGTATCCGCGGATATACATTTTTAACAGTCTGGCACATAACTAGTTTAAATGTGTTTTTTTTTTTTCAGTTGTATTGTTAGTATTGAGTTTAATCTGCTATTGTATTCTTTGTTTTATGTGTGTGTATTCTGCAAGTCTGGCCTATTAGAATCTGAAATATTTATAGACTTTGTCTTCATCCATGGACTCAGTAGCATCTCCATTTCAGAGTACAAAATTATCTTTCTTTGAGATTCCTGTTTCTATGTGAAGTGTTCTGCATTTATCTATATCAGTGTTTACGAATCTTTTTTATCTTGTGGCACACTCAAACCTATAATTAAATTTTCATGGGAAAAAATCATGTGATTTAAAGTTGTGTTTGTAAACATTCTATCATTACATTACTTGCCACTTAACCTAACTCTTTTTGTATATATTTATTGTGAATTAAATAAAACAGTATTGTTGTTCCTTAAAATAGCAGCAGGTCACAATAAAAGTTATCTAAATGATTTTCATTTACATAAGAAAAGCAATTAATATTGAGTCTTAATCTTTCAGCAGTGGGATAGTCAGGTATGGTGCTACCCCAAAGTAGTCGAGAATAAATGTGAGAAATTTTTAAAATATTTTTCCACACGTTTTTTCTCATTACCATTTCGGAAAAGATTTTGTAAACAGTTATGTCTAGTAAAGAAAAGTCTTTTTTTATTGTTACATAATTCATTTTTTATGTGAATTTTTTTTTCTGCAGTAGTTTTTGGTGATACCCCAAAAGAATTTAATGGATATATATATGTCCCTTACCTTTGCCACACGATCAACCTGTTGAGTGGTTAATTTGCATTTAAAAGTGGCATAATAATTGCCTTTAGAAACCTACTGAATGTCCTACTCTTTCTAAGTTAAAATAATTTGAACTAAATATGGACAATTATAGATACATTTTTGATTTAAAGAAATTTTTTTTTTAAATGAAATAACTTAGTGTCATTCACATATAATTTTGCTTACCAATATATATTTTTTACATTATATATACGTTTATTTATTATAACAATGAAAAACTCATATACTCATACTTAGAGGTTTTAATTTTGACATATACTCTTATTATTCATTGGGATTCTTTCAAAAATAATTTATTTAATAACCTTCAAAAATTTTTGCAGTACACTGGTTGAAAATCACTAGTCTAGACCAATCTTCATTTAAATGTCAGTACAGTAAGTGTGTATAACTTCTAGGTGATTTAGCTGTGCTTAAGTGGATGCATAGAATTTTTTGTTATCCATGAACATGAGATGAGATAATATGTATTTTTTTTTTTTTTTTGATGTTGTATTCATATTTAGTATTATTTAACCTATTGGATAATAGGTTTAAGGTCACCAAAGTGGACCTAATAAGTTCCCTGAACACTGCCTTGCTTTATATATATTTGGTTTGTTTTAATGCATGTGTTGTGAAGTCTGACATGTAGTGTAGTTCTCCAATGTTCCATTATGTTTTTTTAAAAATGCAATGAATATTAGATGTATTTTGTAAATAATAACATTGTATTTATTAAGTTGTAAAGAACTATTATTCTGTATCATATGATGCATTTAGAAATGTTAAAATGATGCAATGAAAAATTAAATAAATTATTTTCTTGCTATTAATCTTAGTATAAGATTACTGCATAACTCTATATAAACAAATTTGGCTAAAAAAATATTCATCTTATTATAGTTCAAAAATTACCTGATTGATTAGATTTAAGGTGACTATAAATTTTAGGCTTTGGTTATATTAATTGTATAGTGAATATTCTTTCACATTATTAAGACTATGCCAATTATTAAATAGTTATTATCTAGTATTAAAACATGACAAAAGGAAAAAAGAACAGATTAAAATTCTTGATTAAGTAATTGATTTATGATATATTGTAATGTACCATAAAAAAGTAAAATAAAAAGCCTTTAATAAAACTGTTTATAATATCTATAAAGAACATATAAAGTTAGAGAATATTAAAAATAACATTTTCTTTCTTAATTCTATATATGTATAACTACTATGTTTTTAAAGTTAACTGGAATAAAATCAGTGTAAAATTTTTAAGTTGTCATAACAGCAAAAAATTTGACAAATGTCAGTTATATTTTTCTAAATATAAATAAACTGTCTGTGAAAAAAATTATTTGAAATTCAATCCATTGATTTGTTTGTTTTTTTATATTAATAATACTTGTACTCATACAAAAAATAAATTTGTGAATTTACATTATTACATATATAAAACTGTAATTTATAAATATTGTTTAATAATATTCCATTATGTGGAACAACTTTAGTTTTTGAATAAATGTATTGAACATATGAAGATGGTAAGTGCCATTTCCATTAGTATGTAATATTTTCTATTAGCTATTATGAAATGCATTGCTGTTTAGCTATTAGAATGCATTATAGCATTCTAAATAGCTAAATGGCAATGTATTTCGATTTAAATGTTGTATGTACTTTTTAACTACATCAACTATTTTGATTAAAGTAAACAAAGCAGAAAAACTTCTTAGGGCATTTAATTTTTCCATTTTCTCTAAACTTTCATTACAGCACTTACCATCTTCTATATCCAGACCTTCATATATTAGCAAGGATAAAGTTTGCATGATATTGTAAACATTCTAAAACAAGTATGATGCCAGTAACCAGTTCTCTGAAGGATTACAGATAAGATCTGTCTGTTTAAAATTTGTTAGAAAGCATGTCTATAATAGATACATATTTTAGAAATGTGATAATTGAAAAGTATTATGTATATTGTATTTTGATTAAATGGCACCCTATGTAAAAATATTATATAATAAAAGTATTTAAAAAGGGGTATATAATTAAGAAAAATATCAGAACTGAACTTTGTTGATTGCTTTAAAATTAATTTTCAAATAAATTTTAAAAACTGCACTAAAATTCCAATTTAAAATTTTAATCAGATGCTATCAAAGTTAAGTAATTTGATTATTGACATGAATTCTGATGGATTAATATTACCTAAAGAGTAAATTACAAATAAAATTATAGCAACAATTCTTAATCACTATATTTTAATTAGCTTCAGCATATGTCAAATTATAATTGATTGTTTTTAACAAATATCTGAGCAACGAAAAAATTTATTGAGGGATTTTCTGTTTATATTATATTCATAACTATGATTCTTTGTAACTATTTCATTTCTTGTTCTCAAGTTCACTTCACACCAGATTACTATTATTAAATATTTAAATTTGTTTAGATTTAGCTTTTTTTTATTACAAATTTTAAGATATAAAATATCTGTATAAAAATTTCAATTTACAATACATATTTCTGTATTAAGTTAATTTATTATTAATTTTATCTTAATGTTTAAAAGAATTGAGATAATAAATTCACTATTGAGAAAGGAATATAAATTTTTGTTGAAAAATTGTATTTTAACAATATTTTTGATTTATCATCATGATATTGTGTATGTTTTTATTTCAGATTGTAATAATGGTTAAATTTTTATTTTAACTTTTATATTTTTGTTCAGAACTTCCCTTTTCTTTTTATATATATAGTTTCAATAAAATTTGTGCACTTTTCTCAATTTTCTTCATGTAATAGCTTCACAAAAAAGTTATAAAAGAGAAATTACATAACATAAAAATTTACAATAACTCTTAAATTTCTAATTATAATACACAGTTAACTAACTATAAATGATTTTAAATAGTTATTTCATGCTCCTAAAAAGTTATATTTACTAAAGCATATATACACATATTGTGAACTGATCTTTTAAATTCATAATTAATTTGTACTATGCATCAGTATTATTTTAAAATATAAAATTGATAACTTCAATCATTTTCAAATTACCAATAGAAAATAATAAACCTCAAAATAAAATTACACAAATGTTTTCATAATTAAAAATGTAATTTTGTATAATTTCCAGTCTTTTAACCTCAACTTCATTTATGGAAATATATAATAAAATTTATATTTTATGTAGAATAATCATTTAGGAAATTATTTAGTTGTAAATAATAATAATAAGATATTGTTAGCATACATTTTTAACATAATTATTGATGTCTTTTTCAGTGCATGGTTACAGATTTTTCTCCCATCAAAAGATGTTTCCCTGTCAATCACCACTTTCAAATCATCAGGAGATACAGCCATTCAAGGTGATTTTGCTTTCTCAAGAATTAGTTAAATGACTTACATAGCTGAGTAACTCAGTTTATATAATCATTTGTACATGGCAGTCATATTCGGTTAAGTTTTGTAGACTGTGACTTAGCTAATTATCAAATACACTGTCGTCTGTTATAATGTCATGTTTAAGTGAATATTATTGTCAGTAAATTGAATAAAAAATATATAAATAACCATTCTGTAATTTTTCTTCAATTAACTATAATTGCAAATTTATTATTCCATTATTAAACAATTTTAGTTTATAAAATTTGAGGATACAGTATATATAAAATACATATACTCTTTTTAAGAATGAAAGAAAATTATTAGTTTTAAGTTTTCAGATGACGATGATTTTTATATTGTTCACATCATCATTTGTGTAAGTTTAGAGATTGTGATTGAAAATTCTTGTCTCCAGAAACTGTTTTCAAGAATTTCAGAAATTAATAATAAAAATAGCAGTTTTTAATATCATTACTGTTTTAAATACACATTCAGCAAGGAAAAATTTTAATTACTTTTTCATATATATGTAATTAATTGTAGAGCATGTAGTGAATAAGTAAAATAGTAATTATAAATGAGATTAGGATGAACATACAGACTCTAACATCCTATAGAATTGTTTGTTACAAAGAGGACACCTCTGCTGTTGCCTATGGGACAGAATGACCCTAGGATGGGAATTTTCAGGCCATTGGTTTTTATCCCGAATCTTTTCTTATCCTAATCAGAGTTTTTATTACACTTAAGTTACACTTATGACATCTGAACATCATAGTATGTCAACTGACTTTTATACTTCTGCCATATCTCTGATCCCAAAAATTTTTAGCAGATGGTATGCAATCAGATGTTTTTCTTTACATGAACTGTAAAAATTCAGTCAAGAGCATTTTGAATTTTTATTTCAGGTTCTTAAGAATAATAATACAAAAACTGGTATAAAACTCAATGAAATAAAAATATAAAATTCTAAAAGATGAGATGTCACATTAATGTTGTTAATGTGCTTTTTACAAAATTCTGTTTTTCAGATGAATAAAAATGATTTTTTGTACTCAACTGTAAATGAAAAGTCTTAATGTGATGAAAAATAACAATATTGTACTAATAGGAGCAGCTACAAAAAATGGTACATTGTGATATTTGGCATAGACAGCTATTTGGTATGTTCCAATTTATTGGCAGTATCACCATTTGCTACATCTCTATGGGCACCAACTATTATAGTAGATAATTTTTTTTATTTCATTAATGCTGCAACCATATTATCACAAATCAGAGTTGATGATATTGAATCATGTATCAATTCATAAGCAGTTAAATGAGCTCCTTGATTATATGGTCTAGTTTCAGTAAAAAATACATGCAAGTCTTTGCAATGAGCCAATGAACGAACAACACCTAAAGCTGTACCATAACCTTCAGTAGCTAAACTTCCTGTATTACAATGAGTCAAAATAAATAATGGATCACTACAGCAATACTTCAATATATAATTTAATCCATTATCTCCAATTAATTTATTTACTTTTACATCTTCATTTAACATATTTTCTATTTCACTACTTATTTTATTCTTCATAGTATCAATATCAATTGTATTCTGTTGAAGATATGTTCCTGATAAATTACATAAATATTTGCTGCATTTTTCATATAAACAGCAGTTGGTCTAGCTGTAACCAAATATTCAAGTTGTTTAATTATAAGTTCATGGAGTTGATTTTTATTTACAAAAGATTTTTCTTGCAGTTCAACAGCTAAGCTTAAAGTTCCAATAAGTACAGTAGCTGGTGCACCTCTGACCTTCATATAATGAATTGCATTCCATCCATCTTTGACATTAGAAATAGTAATACTGTATATGATGTTTGGTGAGGAAGTTGAAGCTGATCCAAAATCTTCTATTTACCTTTTTCATATATACAGTCGACCCCCCTATAACACTGTTGATTATTCCATTTTATATGAATTCCATGTTGTATGAGTCACTTAGATTTTACAAATACATGAGCCGTTCACAGCCCAGCACACCTATTTGTAAAATCTAAGTGACTCGTACAACATGGAATTCATATAAAATGGAATAATCAACAGTGTTATAGGGGGGGTCGACTGTAATAGCTTCCAACATTTTCCGAACTGGAGCTAAAAATATCAATAGAATTAATTCAGTTTACAACAGTAATTGAAGAAATTGATACAACAATATATATCCCAAACCAACTACAATATTTCTAATGTTAACAGTCATGCTTTATTTCAAGAATTGAGAATCTCTAGAACATCAAAATTCTCATTCTTAATTAAGATCCAAAAAATATTGAAAGCTTTGCTACATTGATTTTGTTACCTGATATAAACTGTAGTAGTCATTAGAATAAAAACTACACATCTTCTAAAACACTAGTTTTAAAATGATTCAGGTTTGGATAATTTATGATTTTGAAGAAATGTTACAACAGTATTTGAATATAATGATTATTGGGCTGCAATTTGAAAAAATTGTAGACCTATAAATTCCCACTATCATCTGCTGCCTGTCTGTCCTTTCTTAATCTTGAGAACAGAGTTATATAGATGAAAGTAGAGACCAGATATGGAAAGCTTAAGGGCAGGAGGACTGGATTAATTATATTCAAACTGAAAGTCACGTTATTTCAATTCAAAAATTTCCCCTGAAAGGAGTTTGATGGCTAAAGTAAAAGGGGCAAGACACTACTAATTTCAAGATGGAGAACATATATTTTAATTATTAAATAAATTAAAAATATGATTAAAAATTGCATCCCGGCATTGTGACGATGTCACAATAAATATTTGCTCGTATTAATATAACATATCTTTTTAAATTTTACTAGTAATTCAAAAAGTTATTTTTAAAATAGTAAATATGAATTAAGTTATGTCAGGAGATTGTAATTAAAGTTTCCCTATTCAGTGTTATCTAATGATATTTATCAGTCCAAATATTAAAATTTGTTTGTTTATACATATGAAATTACAATGGACTTCTTTAGTTTAGGTTAATCAACCAAATAATAGAGTTTTTCATTATAAGTAATACTGGAAAAATATAGTTATTTGTAGAATGCTAACAAAATTTTTTGAAAGTTATTGAAAAACTAATCATAACTTAAGCAAATTTTCCAATAATGATTTTGTACTGTTGATTTTAAAGAATTAAAAGCTATAGGATTTTTTCTTTGTTAACACATCACACACGAGTTTTGTTAGAGATGATATCATTTACCGATGAAATACAGTAAAATCTCGATTTAACGGACTAATTCGATAGAAAGGGGTGTCAGTTGTATAATACAGTAGACTTTCCAAATGTGTATGTTAAAAATTGACAAAAATGGGGGTGCTCTGACTATCAAAGCTGTTGGCGTGAATTTTTCTCCACTTCCATACTTTGTCTGATTTTTCAAGAAATGAAAAATTTTGAATTGTTTTTGAATAAAAGGAATAATATTAAGCTTCTTATTTTATTGTTACTGATTGCTGGAATAGAACCAAATCCTGGTCCCTTACAGAAAACTCCAACAAAGAGAGGAAGATCATCTACTCGTCAGAAATTGCTGACTAATGATATCAAACGATTGAAACCAGATTCAAACCTTATCACTGAATATACTGAACCTAGAAGAGCCGAATCATCATATCAAACAGGTGAGCTAATTAATTTAACTTCCTCACAATAACAATTACCTGCGGAACAAATAGACATTTCAACAGCAGAATTATGGAATAAGATAGTCGAACTGATAACTAATAGTAATGATAAGTTGAGTCAATTTTCACTTATAAGACAAGAAATTAATATAATTCAAAATGAAATTAAAGAATTTAAAGATCAAATTCAACACTTAAAAATAAGAAATGATAAAATAGAAAATTTACTAAACTAAGACTGGAAAATGAATTAACTCAATATAAACTGGATACTATGACTAACACTATAAATAATAATAAAATTATAATTTATGATTATACAAATCAACTTTAAAATATTACTAAAAATGAATTAGCAACATTTTTTTTTCTAATACTTTAAAAATAGTTTGCAGCGAATCAGAAGGTATAGAAAATATATATTCAATACCTAATCCAAATATTCAAATTAAGTGCATAGTACAGTATTAAAATCAAACCAATTAAGAAATAGAATCCTTGCAGCCTTTAATAAATTGAAATATAACAAGACACTGGGAAATTGGTAAGAAATTAATATGTCAGCTGATTTAAATAAAGATTCTCGCAAAAGAAGGAAAAAACTTTTACATTATTATACAGATTTTAAGAAACAAGGATTACAACTAAAACTGTGTGATAATGATCTGTTAATTAATCATCAAAAAATTACATATAGTTATATTCAGGATCAATTGGTATATGCTGATGATTTTTTGTTGTATTCTCTACAGAAAAACCCAATAACATAATTAATTCAGAATTAGAATGTGAAAATGATCAAGATATTAAAATTTCAAATAATCTTAACTTAAATATCACGAACTGGAACTGCCAAGGCTTAATCCACAAAATAAAAACTCAAGA